AGGGCCCCCAGGAGAAGCCAGCCCCGTACTCTGTCGTCTCGGCTCCCGTAGTCGCCCGCCCCCGACGCGCTGGACGCCGGGAAGCCCAGTTCGCGCGCTTTATGGGAACACCGCGAGAGAGGACAGTAGCCAGGCGTGAGAACAAGCAGCTTTATTGTTTGCTTCCACCCAGGTAGAGCGAACCCGGAAGCTCCCTGTTCAATTCCTAGGCGTCCCTTCCGAGAACATCTTCCAGGCTCCAGAGTCCGTCCTGTGCACTCCCGGGCGAGGGAGCCCCGGCCCCGCACCGCCAGCAGCAGCTCTTCCCCGCAGACCGCCCGCACACCGGTTCTCCACCACAGACGCAGGAACACCTTAGGGCCCCAAACCAGGCGTCTCCCCCTGCAGCGGCTCCACCGATGGCACCTCCTCCTGCCCATCTTCAAGGTGAGCTGGAGGGACTGGCGCCAAGCTTGGTTCCTCGGCTGGACTTGGACACTCGGGTGTTGGACACTCAGGTGCAGGAGCTGTGAGCTCAGGCACGAGCTCCTTCTCATCTAAGGGGAAGACCATCTCTCTCTTGGGCAGGATGAAGGCAAGAGGCTCCTGGATGGCACTGCTGTTCACATGCCCCAGGTGTCCGTACTTAGATAGCTGAGTGGGCGGAATGCCTGACACAGACGGTAGGGAAAATGAAACAGGAAAAAAACGCTATTAATAAAATTCAATATGGATAGAAGCCACAGAAAAGAGAAAAGAACAGGCACAACTAGCATGTTCAAACAGCAGAAGGTAACTTTTGTGGTACTGGACAGGAAGCTCTGCTCTTTAGCAAGGCTAGGAGCGTAATCGGGCAGCACCGGGCAGATGGTCTCAGTGAACACAGGCCTCCCTGTTACTGACCCAAGGGGAAAGCTGGGGCCAAAGTGAAGGCAGCCATTCTTACCGGTGTGATCACTGACCTATTCCCTTGTGGGAATCTACATCTCCCTCATCCCAGGACGCAGAAATGAGTGCGAATTAGAAAAAACATTAACTCCTCTGCATGTTTTATAGAAAAGGGATCATACAATATGTGCCTTCTGGGCTGGTCCATGACCTAGTGGTTAAGGAAGCCTGATGCCACATAGCTAACCATGTAGATGGAATCCTGGCCCTGGCAGGGTGAAAAACATGAGGGGCGCATGTGTGTGCACACCCAAAAGCCTAATAGGATGGAGAAATGGGAGAGACCAAATTGTGTGGATACCAAGTCCCATCAGGAAGTGCTTTCTCTCGCCCTCTCTTGTCTCACTATTATGGAGTGTACATACCCTCTGGCAATCAAAAAGATGTGGCTTCTTCCATTTAGGTCTATTTAGCCATAATATATATATTTTTTTAATTTCATTTTTCCTGTAGAATGTGTGCTCTCATTAGAGACAGAGAGAGAGGGTAAGTGAGAAATCACCCTGTGGTGGGGGAATGCCACAATCCCTTCTTCATTCTCTGGGGATCTTGGGTATACACCCAGCATGATTTTCAAGCTGCAGGGACCCAAACCACATAGTTGGCCATGTGGGATCAAGTGCTTTAATCTCCATGGCAACTGCTGACCCATGTCTTAATTCCTTTTTTAGGAAATGTCCAGAAAAAGCAAATCTACAGCAATAGAAAGGTTGCCCAGAGCCAAGGGAGCACTTGAGGAACCACCACAAATGGACATAAGGGATCTTTTTTTGGATGGCAGTATAGTTGCACACCTCTGCACTTTTAGTCACACATACATGCATGTAAATTATTTAGCATGTAAATTACTTACCAGTAAAACATTTGAAAATCTCCTCTTACCTAAAGTCTGTGCTATCTGAGCTGGTGGGAAAAGGACTTGGAGACAGCGATTCAAATAAGGAACGAGGTCTTCCAGAAAGATAGTGCAGAACTGGACGAAGAGCTCTTGTTCCCCACTGCTGAAGGCAGCTTCTTCGGCACGATGGAAGGCCAGGATTATTTTGGTTACCTAAAAGACAAGGACACTAGCAATCACTGGGGCAGTCTTTCTCCAAATTACAAATGTGCAGCACTCAGCTGTTCATGAAGAAATGCATTCCAGACAGTACATTCTATTACCACCTTGTTTAAACTCAGAATTGTGGTCGTTCTCCACAATTCTGTCACTTCGTTGATGTATTTCTTTCTTTCTTTTTTTTTTTTCTTTTTTTGGAGAGGTTTTTGCTATAGGGCGCATGCACTCGCCAGAGACAGAAAATGAGAAATCACCCACGCGAACTGGTGTCTCTGTCTGGCAAGCGCATGTGCCCTATAGCAAAAAACCTCTCACCCCCCCTCCCCAAATAAAAAGCACATACTGTGGTTCTGAACTTCTTTGGTTCAAATCCCAACTGTACAACCTGGTTCTATGACTTCCAAATGATTAGTTATGCACTATACCTTAGTTCCCTCATCTATCAGATCCATCCATTAGCAGGACCTGTGTCATAGTGTTGTGAGGATAAAGTCTTAATCTCTGTAATTATGATGAACACTATTTTACATGGAGTAAGATCTTTTTTTTTTTTTAAAGAGGTTTTTTTTTGCTACAGGGCGCGTGTGATCACCAGAGAGACAGAGACAGAGAGACAGAAAGTGAGAAATCACCCCTCCCCAGGGGGGATGGCCATGCCACAATCCCTTCTCCTCCATTTTCCTCTCAGGATCTTGGGCACGCACGCACATGTACCAGGTGTAAGTTTCAGCCACCGGGTCCAGGACTCGAACCGCAGTCGACTACATGGGAGTTCAGTGACACAGCCATTACACTAACTGCTGGTCCCAAGATCTTTCTTACTCTTAGAAGAGACATCAGCAGAAGGATAGTATGGTTCAGCCCCTGATGTGGTAGTTACGGTGACTAAATCTCACATGACTGACTGGGCAGTTTGAGTCTTAGACCTAATTTCTTGAAAAACACACTGGGTGTGTGTGTGCACATTCGCAAAAAATGGGTGAGTGAAAAAGGAATTGCGATGTGACCATTCCCTGTTGGGGATGCTTTTTCACCACTACTGCCAACCTCTATAAACACAGGTGCCCTTTGGCAAAATTGAAAAAAAGAGATTTAGGCCAGTATGGTTACACCACTGGACTCCCACATGGCTGACCGTGGGTTGAGTCCCAGACCCAGTGACTTGAAACACACTGGGCATGTGTGCCCAAATTCCTAGGAGTAGAATGGAGGAGAAGGGATTGCTATGGCCATCCCCCTGGGCGGGTGATTTTTCACTTTCCGTCTCACTGTCTCAGTCTCTCTCTGGCAAGCACACGCACCCTAAGGCAAAAAGCTCTTAAAATAAAAAAAAATTTATACAGGGCCGGCAGGTGGCATGGTGGTTAAAGGTGCTGGACTCCCACATGGCTGACCATTGTTCAAGTCCTGGACCTGGTGGCTTGTTTTCTCGCTTTCCCTTTCTTTCTCTGTCTCTCTGATCACACTGGAAAATGATAAAAATAATAAAGTTAAATAAATATTTTTAAAAAAGATTTTATACAAGTGCCACCTGACTGACATTTACAAGATGCCATTAATTTGAAGAAGCATCCTAGGGAGCTGGCAGGTGGCATGGTGGTTAAAGTGCTGGACTCCCACATGGCCAACTGTGGTTTTCATCCTGGACCTGGCGGCTTGCTTTCTCCCTCTCCCAGTTGTCTCTCTCTGGTCAAGTTGAAGAATAATAAATAAAATTATATGAATAGTTCTAAAAATTTTTCTGAAGAAAGAATCCTAGTATCTAAGGATTTCAGTGTGTAAAAATGTGCACCATACTAGAATAGTATTACAACTACTTTAGGCAGAATTATAAGATGGCTTTCATTATTCTTGTGCCTAGTATCCATGCCGTTGTGTAATCATTTTTCCCTGTATGCATATAGAATCTGAAACTTGCTTCTAGCCAACAATATAGTAAAGATGAAGGATTTTTTATATGACTTTGAATTAATTAGAAGATTATGAGACCAGCAGGTGGCATGGTGGTTAAGATGATGAACGCTCCCACACATGGCTGACCACAGTTCGAGACCAGTACCTAGTGGCTTACTTTCTCACTTCTCTCTTTCTCTCTCTCTTTCTAGTCAAATTAAGTTAATAAATAAATGAAATTAAATAAATAAGTCTGAGGAAATAAAAGATTATTCTGGGGGCTGGCAGGTGGTGTGGTAGTTAAGGCACTGGACTCCCAAATGGTTGACAGTAGTTCAAGTTCCAGACCCGGCAGCTTGCTTGCTCTCTTTCTCTTTCTCACACTGGCGAACTCATGTAACCTACAGCATATTAAAATGTAACAATAATAAATACTTTTTTTAAGATAAGGTTATTCTGTACAGGTCTGATTTAGTCAGATGGACCTTTTAAAACACTAAATCAGACCTCGAAAAAGAGCCTTGAGCTCTCTTGCTGGCTTTTTTTTTTTTTTTTTTAAGAATTTTTTTCAATAGAGGGCGTGGGCTCCCCAGAAACAGAAAGCGAGAAATCACCCCATGGGGGGATGGCCACACTGAAATCCCTTCTCCTCCATTTCCCTCTCGGGATCTTGGGTGTACACGCGCCCGGTGTGAGTTTAAGCCACCGGGTGCGGGACTCAAATCACGGTCGACTACAGCAACATAGCCATTATGCTAACTGCTGGTCCCGCTGCCCTGATTTAACTTTATTTATTCATTTATTTAACTTTTGACCAGAGAGGTAAAGAGCAAGAGGTGGGAGGAGGTAAGAAAGCAAGCCGCCGGGCTAAGTAAGCTGCTAAGTTTGTGGAGATTCGTTATGAAGCAACATAAAGCATTTACTTATAGTTAATTGTTAATATAGGTGAGCCACTTCATGGATTGTTTTAGGGTCTCTTCAGAACCAGAGCTTCTCAGCCGGAAAAACCTCTGAAACCTCTCCAAGTCAGCATGTACCACTGTCAGATAGACTGATTTAATAGTTTGTCTGCCTGTTACCAAAGACCCAGGGTGGTAAAAAGCCAACAGAATGTGCTCACCTTGGCAAGAGCATCCTCTAAGGCCCCAGTCACATCTTGCGCCAAGGCCACAGGGCAGCAGAGGCGCAGATCATTGAAGGCAACCAGAATATTGTTGAGGAAGCAAGCAAGGGGTGGGAAGTCTAAGAGTACCATTGGTGGCTGCAGTGTCCCTGGCTGAGCAGCTGGCACAGCAGGAGGCATGTTACTGCTGCCCAGAATGGCTGGAGCTGAGATGAGGGTGTAGGAGTTCATTTCATCCTGGAATTTCTCCACAGCTTCCTGAATTGCTTTCTGGAAAGTGCTGATGGCCACCCGCTGGAAAACAGGAGCCAACTGACCCCGGAAATCAGCTCCCACCCGGCTGAAGGAGAGCCCAAAGTACATGCACTGGCCCAGCAGAGAGTCCAGGCGGCCCCCTATTCCCCGATAAAGGTCTGACTCTAGCACCTGCAGAAACTGTGAGACTTTCTGTAGCACCCAACCATGGAAGATGGCACTCTCATTGACAGTGGGCTCTCCCATGGCAGGGGGCAGCAGTGGGTCCTCGTCTGAAAAGATGGCACGGTACTGCGTGATGATATCAAAGAGATGGACACGGCAGGCCTCGATAGTTTTTGTGATATGGAAATAGGGATCATCATTAGGGATGCCCGTCAGGATGGAACGGAGCCAAGCATCCCGGGCCTGAAGAAATTTCACCCTCAGCTCAGCCTCAGTGAAGACGTCCATGCGCCGCAGGTAGCCAATGACACGGAGGCAGGCAGGGAGCTGGATGTTGGTCCTCAGTTGCTGGATCAGCTGGCTCAGCATCAGTTGCATGGACTGGCGCACCTCATTCACAATGCCCTGTTAATACAGAGAGTTGAGACAACAGCATGCTGACAAAGACTTCTCTAGAATCTGTTCTATTAACCCTGATTGCAGGCTAGTAAACACACAGCTTTCATGACATATGAAGTAGATTTCCCAAGGCTGATGCTAATAGGTCCACTAACAAAGATCTTGTTGGACTAACTTTCTTGCTTAAAATGTGTAAAATCATCCAGTGACTTCCTATGCAGTCACAAGTCCAACCACTTCCCATGGCCTCCAAGCCCTGCCTACCTGCCATGTCACCTGCTTTCCTCATTACAATCCAGTCACATTGGCTTTCTTTCTATCCTTTTAACACTCCAACTTCTCAGTACACCTCAGCCCTGTTCTTGTTTTTCCCACTTTTTTCTCTGCTCTTCCCTCAGACCTTTGCATAGTTGGTTTCTCACCGAGGACTCAGCTTAAATGTCACTTCTCCAGAAAGACCTTCCCTGACCACTCTACCTAAGGTAACCCACTCTGGTCTCCCACTACCCCATTCCTTTATTTTCTTCAGATAATTACCACGCTCTGAAACGGTCATATTATTTTGTCAATTACTGGACCTCTCTAGAATGTGAGCACGAGAGCCAGGGTCTTGCCTGCTGTTCACACCTTACTGTTCACATTTAAGTTAGTGCCTGGCACAGAATTAATATGTATCTTTGAATAAATGAATTTTTTATGCTCACATCTGCCTTGCTGGCAGAAACTGATGTGAAATATACAAAGATTTCTACATAAAGATTCAATCATGACTACAGAATTAATTATCAAAAGATCAATTTCAGTCTTCTCTGGGTAAGATGGCTACCTGGATGACAGGGATGGAGGAGTACTTCCTTTCTAGTCGGTGTACATAGGCTGCAAGCTCCAGGGCCTCTTCATAATAGCTGTTCCGGACACAAGTGTCCATGAGCTGAGGAATCTCCAGGATTTCCAGGATTTCCGTGTGCCGATTTAGAGTCAGGGTGTTCATCCGGCGGTTGGAGCTGATCTCCTCGGCTTCCTTCACAAAGTTTCTAGTAATAATCAGGAGACTGTTGGTCTCTCACTGCTCTGTACCCAAACTTTAACCACAGTTACTAAGCCCTAGATAGATGGTTTATTAGATTTAATTTTCACCAGACCTATGAGTTAGTACTGTTATCCCAGAGAGGTTAAGTAACTTGTCTAGATCATGTGACTAATAAGTGATTGATAGATCTGAATCCAGATCTGCTACTTCCTTGCCATGGCAAGGTACTTAGCCTCTTTGAAACTGTTTCCTCACTGGCAAAATAAAAGGATTCTCATAAGTGTGAGAATTAAATGAGATGATAGGTACAAAGCACCTAACACAGAATCTGTCTCAGAGTAAATGTGTCAAGAGTAAAAGAGACAGAGGAAAATGTTCCTTTAATAATAATTATTGTTTTCTTACAAAGTACTAACTAGTCTAGAAGCCACAGATGTACCCCAAGCTACCCCAGGGTTTTTTTGGTTGTTGTTATTTTAAGAGGACAGTGCAAGACTCGGGTCTTAATCTTCTCTAAATATGATACTGCTTAACTTTAATTCCTGCCAGTCTACTTTTCCCATTTCTTTTCTAGTGCAGAAGTCTGGGACATTGAAAGGGACAAACAATGTTATTGAATATCCAGAGGTTCAAATGGAAAATTAAACTTTAATTATGAAAAGCTGGAAGGGAAAAAAAGTAAAGCATTTTTCATGTACAAATGTTAAAAGGATTCATCTTTTCTGTAATAAGTCGTTATATTCTACCAAACTGCTAAGGTAAAATTAAACACACATTCTTTCTTCAAAACCAAGTGTATAGCTTAACAATAAAAAAAGAAATGCTAGAAGGCAGAACTAGGTCTGAGGTAGAAAATGGCTCAGAAAAGAGAGTCTATTAAGATAATCCTGTTGCTCCCCAAATTGAAGAATTTCCTTGTCAGCTTCCTATAAGCAAAAGTTTTTGAGCATATGATCTCAGTGCCAGCTGTTATATATATGAAATTACATAAATATGCACATATGTTAAACTGACATTTACAGAGTAGTAAATATGTCAGTCCCGATAAGTGCCTCCCATGGATTCTCTTTAGTTGGTGCTCACAACAGCCTTATCTCAGAGAGACAAGACCTCAGGTTCCAATCTGACGTTGAAATTTACTAGGTGTGTCCTTGGACAGGTCACTAACCTGAGTCTCAACTTCCTCCAATAATAGTACCCACCTCAAAGGCTATTGTGAGGCTTAAGTGGATTAATAAAGAGCTCAGGGGAGAGCTTGGCACGTGGTAAGAAGCACTATGTCATCTATCTCATCGTAAATGTCAACCATTCCAGTTAAAGGCCCCGTTAGCTCCAGGCCCGCCACACCTGCAGCTCTGCTGGAAGTTGGGCAAGCGGTCAAGCAGGCGGCGGAGCGACGCCTCCACGTCGCCAAAGAGGCGGTGGATGCGTTCGGTGCACTCGGCGCCGCGGATGAAGGTCTTGTAGTTGGCGAAGGCCAAGTCGCGAGTCTGCTGCAGCAGCTGCGCCCGCTCCTCTGCCAGGCGCTCCGGCTCGCGCCGCAGCCGCTCCAGCCCAGAGCCGCTCGTCGGGCCGCTCCCGCCACTGGGCCTCAGGGAACCGGTCTCGGAACAGCGACGCCAAGAGCCCTTCATCCTCCACCTCCCCGAGGGCCGCTGCCGTGGCTGTCGCCGTGGCTGAGGCCGTGGTTGAGGTTGAGACAGTCGTCGCTGCCGCCACCACCGCTGCCATCTTTCCTGCCGCCGCGCCCCTCCCCGGGGCCCGCTGCGGTGGCTGTCGCCGTGGCTGAGGCCGTGGTTGAGGTTGAGACAGTCGTCGCTGCCGCCACCACCGCTGCCATCTTTCCTGCAGCAGCGTCACTTCCCCGGTACCAGCGAGGGCGTTGCCTCTTGTCGTAAGACCGGAAGCAATAAGGACACACTTCCTGTCCCTGGTTTCTTACCTAGCCGGCTGTCTTTCCCCAGCGGTCCTCCAGCCTAAGGGGCGCCTTCGTGAGGAACGAGTGGAGAGGGGCTAGAGAGGCAGTCTTGGGGGTTGCCGGGAGTGGCTGGCCAACTTCCGTTTCCGGCTATTCGGGCACGAGGGTTTGGTGTTCCAACCCAGTGGCGAGATGCGGCCGTTGACTGAAGAGGAGACACGTGTGATGTTTGAGAAGATCGCGAAATAGTAGGAGCGCGGGGGGCGCCGGGGGGAGCGCGTGTGTCTGTAGGGGCCAGGGCGTGGGTGGAGCAGGGGCGCGCTGCAGGGCCGAGTTCGTTCCGGCGCAGTCTCCAACCCTCTTTTCGCCCTCAGCATCGGGGAGAATCTTCAGCTGCTAGTTGACCGGCCGGACGGCACCTACTGTTTCAGGCTGCACAACGACCGGGTGTACTACGTGAGGTGAGTGGAGGCCGGGCGGGCTGCGAAGACCGGGAGGGGCTTGGCCCCCACCAGCTTCCCTCACGCGAAACCTTCCTGTCCCTTACGCTTTAGTGAGAAGTTTTTTTTTAAGAATTATTTAATTTTATTTACTCAGTCATTTATTTTAATTTGACCAGACACACACACACACACAGAGAGAGAGAAAGAGAGAGAGAGAGAGAGAGAGAACGAAGGAAGGAGGGAAGGAGGGAGGAAGAGAGGAAGGGAGGAGGGAAGTGTAAAAACAAGCCACCAGGTTCAGGCCATGTGGGAGTGCCCAGTACCTTAACCACCACGCCACCTGCTGGTCTCCCATTTAGTGAGAAGATTTTGAAGCTGGCCGCCAATATCTCTGGGGACAAGCTGGTGTCTCTGGGGACCTGCTTCGGAAAATTCACCAAGACCCACAAGTTTCGGTTGCACATCACGGCTCTGGATTACCTTGCACCCTATGCCAAGGTTTGTGGGGTGTTCTCCATTCTGCTGTAGGGATGAAGTCAAGAATGAGGACCACGTCAAAATGCAGACTGTCAGGCAGTTTCTCTTGCATGGAGTCCCTGACAGTGCTTCAGTCAGTGCTAGCACATGGAAGTGTTTATAGGTCTGGCTGCTTGAGCATGTTTAGGGTTCTGGGATAGGAGTTCCATGCGGCTATAATCTTCTGCAAAACATAAAAACTGGGACCAGCAGTTGGCACAATGGCTATGTGGCTGGACTCCCATGTAGTTGACCACAGTTCGAGTCCCAGACCGGGTGGCTTAAACTCATGCGGGGCGCATGTGCATGCGTGCCAGAGATCCCGAGAGGAGAATGGAGGAGAAGGAATTGCAGTGTGGCCATCCCCCCTGGGGGGCGATTTCTCGCTGTCTATTTCTCTGTCTCTCTGTCTTTCTGGTGAGTGCACGTGCCCTATAGCACAAACCTCTCAAAACAAACAAGCAAAACAAAAAAAAACAATGAAGGCCCTCCTGCAGGTCAAAAAGTCAGTAAGTGGCTTTGATAAGAATTCCAGAAAAAGAACTTTTGAACTGTCCATGGGAGAAGTTGCTTAGGGAGTTGGAGAAAGAACATACTGGCAGTTCTGTTCAGGTTATGAACAACTTGAGGGAAACATTCATCATCTATTTTCCTTTCCTTAAAATTTTTTCAAGTAATTGATGACATATCTAGCAGCTAGCTTATCTGCAGCAACATTACTGTTAGTGAAGTGTCTATTGAATTCAATTTTTTTTTTCATATAGTATAAAGTATGGATAAAACCTGGAGCAGAGCAGTCCTTTCTGTATGGGAACCACGTATTGAAATCTGGACTGGGTCGAATCACTGAAAATACCTCTCAATACCAGGGAGTGGTGGTGTACTCCATGGCAGACATCCCTTTGGTGAGTAGAGATGGTAGCTTTTACAAAATCAAGTATGTTTTTATTAAGCAAGCATGTATTTTTGATCTGTGCTCTTGGGGGAGTAAATTCTCTGTTCCTTTCAATTCCTTTAAGATAAGAACTGTATTTTTCTTTTTTCATCTTTGTTATCTCCAGTCTTTGATGTGGGTTTGTGGAATTATTTGAGTGAATTAGTGTCTCTTCTTTTGAATCCCAGGGTTTTGGGGTGGCAGCAAAGTCTACACAAGACTGCAGGAAAGTAGACCCCATGGCGATTGTGGTATTTCATCAAGCAGACATTGGGGAATATGTACGACATGAAGAAACATTGACTTAAAAGGAAGTCATCCTGAGGACATACACTGTGGAAGGGCCTAGCTTTGTTTCTTGTGTCTATATAGACTCCGCCATTGTGTTGAATTTTGTCAACACTGACCTCTTCAGGGACTTCTTAGTTTTTAACATTGTCTATCACTGACAAATGCAGGCTGGATTCTTATTACATGGAAATGGCTCAGAAAATTAGTTTCAGATCTTTGACCAATCAGAATATTCCTTTTTATATTTGAATCAGAGGGCTTCTTGTTCTGAGTAACAGGTTCTCAATAATTGGAACTGAGGACAAGAATAGCTTATTATTGTTATCTGTGATAACACTTTGTTTTCTAAACTCACCATAAGAACATAATGTATATTTTCTGTTTTTTATTAACTATCATTAAAGGTAGATAATACGATGTCAGAATAGTAGGCCACGTGTGGGATTTTACAAATGAATTTTGGCTAAAATAATAAGACTAGTTTTTTCACCTGTGATTCTATGTAGTAAGTGCTGTGTGATGTGGAAGAAAAATTTGGATTCAGACCCAAGTTCTGCCTCCTATTAGCTGTGTGGCCTTGGATGAGTCATTCAACTTTATAAACTTTGTTTTCTTTCTTTTTAAAAAAAAATGCAAAACTAAAAGTTAGCTTATGAATGGTTTTTAAGAGTTGGAAAAGCATGGCTGTTGCGTCTAACACAGTGCCTGGAAATGATAGATGTTGGATAAATGGTGAGAACTATTTTTATATTGCATAGATTACGTATTGTAGGGTCTTAGGAGAGTAATTTGATAACATTATCTTGTCTTCCAACAATCCTTTTTCAATCTTTGTTTTTCTTAGATGAGATGATTTCAGACTGAGATGTTTTTTCCCCATCACCTTGATTTCATAAAACAATTTCTCTTATGAACTTTTATTTACCTGTTTAGACTGAACATAAAGCACTAATCAGAGACCCTGAAATTAAAACTCAGATCCTTTGTCCTTCCCCATGCCTCTCAAAATTATTTTTAAATTATTACATTTTTAAAAAATTAAGAGAAAAAATTTTAATAATCTGTATCATAAAGCAAAACAATGTCTTTAATGAGTATACTGCACATTTTTAATTATAGAGGTGATGTCCCTAAAAATGTTTTCAACTCCAAAAAGGCACTCTGGGGCCAGCAAGGTAGCTAGGTGGTTAAGGTGACTGGATCCCAAATGGCTGACCGCACAGTTTGAGTATCAGACCCAGTGGCTTAAGAAACACGCCAGGCACCTGTGTGTGCATGGCCAAACTCCCAGAGGAGAAGGAATTGTGGTGTGTCCTCCCCCCACCTCCCCGGGGGGAGGTGCTTGACTTTCTCTCTCTCTACCTGTCTGTTTGTGGCAGTGCAAGCGCCCTCCTGTGTAAATTAAAAAACAACAGCACTCTGCTAACTTTTATTTTTATGTGAAAAGTTGATTCTGTTCTATCTCTTTAAACTTTGCTCTCTTCTAAGTTTGTCTGTTAATCTCTAAGTGGACTCAGTGAAGGTTATGGCATTGCTGCATGTTGAACAGTATTTTGATAGTAGCATTTAATACATACTTTAGATGATAGCAGCCACAGAGGGACAAATGGTGGTATACTGGGCTGACCTATATGGAAGAGTTCCAGGTTCACATCCAGAGATCTCTCTCTCGGTGCACCAATCATGAATGCGCCCATGATCTGACGTTGGCTGAAGCTGGAGGTGTATCGCAGCATTCAGATCCTATTGGGGGCCTGGCCCCATAGCTCAGCCCTTAAGTGCTGCACCATAGAAAACCCCATCCTACATGGCCAACTGCAAGTTGAATCCTCACAGCTTGAGTAACCCATCAACGTGTGTATCTACCTGCCCAAAATCTTGACTGGATGGAGAGACGGAAGAAAAAGGATATCGACGTGTCTATGCCCTATTACAGGTGCTTTCTCTCTCTGTCTCTCTTTCTCTTTGGCAAATGTACATGCCCACTGGCAATAAAAGAAAAAAAAAAAGACTTTGTTGAGATGCTGTCTCTCTTTTCTGTCTTTCTTACTCGTGGAAGAAATAAACTTTTAAAATATATAGCCAACCACAGAACTTTTACGTTATTTTATTGCCATTTTGGCCTCATAGATGAGCATAACAAACTAAAGCATTAACAAGAAACAGCTTTTTTCCAATGACTTTATAAAGCAAATGTGACTAAAGCTTTGATAGAATTTCTGCCCCAGAAGAAAAGAGCCAAGGTGCTGTAGTCATCCTAGCTTAGCATCTTGGCTTCTTTGTATCTGTAGTTGGAACATTGAAGAGACGCTTCAAGAAATACAGCTGCAAGATCCCAGAAAGAACAATAACAAGGCTTTGGGCTGTTGACCACCAGTTCACATAGTTATAATTTGATTGGAGAAGGAAAAAGTCAGCCATTTTCCTCATCCGGGCAAAGGTGTAGTATCGCCACATGTGAAAGACATTGTTCTGCACCTTTCGTGTACTCTCCTATAGGAAAGAAAAGAGAGGAATCCTTTTCCCACCAACACACAAAAATCTGTCCTCACCTGGGTGTTCACTAGCACTAATCTAATGGAAGTTGAGTTATTTTCTCATGTTTTTAAGATATATAATGCTATGATAAGTTGTTGCTAAATGCTGGTTTTGCTGTATCTGAAAAATACTCTGGATTTTAATAAAAAATTGTAGGGGGCCAGCAGGTTGCATGGTGGTTAAGGCTCTGACTGGTTTGAGTCCCAGACCTATGACTTGAAAATCACACTGAGGGGGCCAGCAGGTGGTGTGGTGTTGAGGGTGCTGGACTCCCACATGGCCTACCACGGTTCAAGTCCAGACCTGGTGACTTTCTCGCTTTCTCTGTCTCCCTCTCTGATCAAATTAAAATAAATAAAGTTAAATAAAATAAGGGAAAAAAAAGAAAAGAAAATCACACTGAGCACATAAACCTGTGTTCCCAAAATACTGAGAGGACAATGGAGGAAAAGGGATTGCAGTGTGGCCATCCTCCCCAGAGGAAGGGTGTGAGTTCTTCCTGTCTCTTGCCCTCTGATAAAAACCTAAAAATAAAATTTTTTTCATGATGAAAAATTTTGATTCAAACCACAAAAGACTCTTGTAAATCTCTAGATTTAGGCAGGTACTCAGCACATCATTATGCTTCCAGATAGAGGATTATGCTGTTCTCTCTGTATGGGAGAAGACAAGGTTCTGCAGACTTTATTAAAAGTCTTGATAGTGGGACTAGCAGTTAGTGTAATGGCTATGTCACTGGACTCCCATGTAGTCGACCGCGGTTCGGGTCCCAGACCCGGCGGCTTAAACTCAAGCCAGGCATGTGTGCATGCGTGCCCAAGATTCTGAGAGAATGGAGGAGAAGGGGTTGCGGCATGGCCATCCCCCCTGGGGGGTGATTTCTTGCTTTCTGTCTCTCTGTCTCTGTCTTTCTGGTGAGCACACATGCCCTATAGCAAAAAACCTCTCCAAACAAAGGAAAAAAAAAGTCTTGATAGTGGGACCAGCAGATGGCATAATGGTTATGTTGCTGTACTCCCATGTAGTCGACCTAGGCTCTTCGACCTGGCAGCTTAAAACTCACGCCAGGAGGGCCAGCAGGTGCCATGGTGGTTAAGGCTGCTAGATTCCCATATGGCTGACCATGGGTTGAGTTTCAGCCCTGGGGGCTTGCCTTCTCCCCCCCCCCCCCCC